CCGAAAAAAGGAAGGCCGCAGTGAGCAGATCCAGTCATAAGGTTCTTTTCTTTGACGGACTTACTGTAGTTGTCATGTGCTCTTACGGCAACGTCTATCTCCACATGATAGACACGCCTAACCAAATCCGGCATCGGCCCACCGTAGTCTATTGTTTAAGTTACGCTACAGTTGGAACCACAACTCGATATGAACACAGTATCTAGCAGGGCGATACTTTATTTGTTCGAGTTCTCAGTCAAGGAACATAACTGGGACATAATGCGCCTGCCTATGCATGGCCCTATCTCCGCCATTCACATCTCACGGCATTGTGCCAAGCATAATGATGGGATGCTGACGTCCCTTAAGCGGGATACACCGTCACGTTCTTATTTGTCTTCGTAACCATAGACCCTTCGTAGCTGTTTATTCGCTGCATCCAGCAACTGTGCCGAGGCTGCCAATTCCTCCGCGGGTGTCTGTGATATCCCTGGGCGCGAAAATACGTCATGCACCTCGCGCAAGGCAGCAGCCAAGCGCATCGACGTCGTCGGCGTACGTTCTAGAGGTCGTGCCTTGCCTAGCGGTCTCGTAGGGCTGTCACTGCCTGGACCTACAATGCATTTGCAGGGTCAGTACGTTAGGGCGATGTCACATCAAGGGGAAATCGCTTGCTTGATTCTATCCCCACGGGTAATGATATCCGAGCGGGTCTCAGTACTGCGTCTGGTGTTTCAGGTACTGCATGACGATTACATTAATTCCGCCACATAAAGTTAACTTCCGGAATCCGAGAGACTTACCAATCTCATCTTTCTCCAGCTGCTCCCGCATCACCCTGGGCACAAACGGCCTCTCAGGTGTAATCTCCGATGCGTGAACATCCAGGTCAGTCCTCTGTTGTTGCCTTCTCTTGTCCTTCCCTGCTTCTGCCGCCCGGCGGTATAAAAGATCACGGAGAGGCGTAACTTCGACGCAGTCCATGACCAGTCTTCGGCGCGGTAAAGACCTTGGCGTTGAATGTGAGCGTGGACCTGGGACAATAGGCGAAGACACGCCAGTGAGTGGCACTGAGTGTGTACGCAATCCATCGTTGGTCGAGGCTGTTGCACGACGGCGCTTGGCCGATGGCATGTCTTGTGGTAGGGGGTGCTTTTTCAGCGCAGGATCATCATATAGTATGGTAGACTCATGTGATTTGCGACATTCTCTTGATGATTCTTGAATGACCCCTGGGACTAATCTTGCATGTGACGAGGCGTCCAGCACCGCATTTAAGATGGCACATTGGGAGTCTGGGATTACTTCGTGCTATGGTTCCGCAGAAGATCTGTTTCAACAAAAGTCCTAGGAAGCGGGGCATGAATGATTACCTCTATGGACCGTAAATGTAAATTTTGCTCTCTGGCACCCTTGCGGACCGCAGGGGACACTGGTACCTCGATCGTCAACCGACTCTCCATTTGGAGTTGCGTTTCTGTTTGCGAGCTCGAGCTAAGCGGGACCATGCCTGATGGCCACTCTCTGCCGTAGCCACGCACACAGGCATCGATGCACACGCGCAGCTCATCGCTATATGAATTGGGAGGCGCAGAAAGACGGGCATGTATTGTGTTGAAGAAACGTATAAACGCAGCCGGACCCAGCGCGGGAGGAGGGATGCGTGAAAATGCCGCGGTGAGGAGCGGACCGAGGGCATTCAAAGACGTGACGGATAGATGAAGCGACTGTAGCCGCGTGAGAAGCAAATCGTAGAGGGACATAAGCTGCAAAAAAAGTAAACTAAGTGGGAGGCAGGGTAGGCGAAGACGGAAGATTACGTACCAGGTCGTTGTACTGGTCTTCCGACAGAGACATACATTTGTCTTCTATCCAAACAGCCAGCCCCGTCTGTACGGCGAAGATAACTGGCTCAAGCAGAGAGACAGGCATGGATACAATCATGTGATGAAAGACCTTGATAACCTCGGAAGCTGCATGCACTGTGCTTGGTTGTGGCGGATAGGCGGCAGTGAGGGTCATGCTAAGATAAGATAACGCTCTAACCGGGACGGAATCTCCTTCGTTGAGGTTGAGGCGCCGGATGAGGGCAAGAGCGACGCCCAAAGCAGTATTTATCGAAAAACTACTCCAAGTCCATGTCAATAAGTAAAGAGACCACACCGCTAACATACCTCGGGCCAATCACTGGACATTTACTGGTTATGTCGTCGACAATATCAGCTTTCTTAGCGGAGGTGTCCACGGCCGAGAAATATCGCTCGAGAACTCGTTCCCAGATGTCAAGATCATCAATTGACATGCTCCAAGAACTACAATCCATCATACCGTGCGTGAGAACAATTCGAAGTGAGAGTCGTATTCGCTCACCCAAAAGGACATGCCAGGAGTGACATGAGGTACTGCTGGCTGCTGGACATTGAACCATCGCTGTGCGTTGCAACCAGGCGCCAAAGCTGTCTCTTGATTTCCAGAGCACGGTGTGATTCATCCTGGTGCAAAATAGACTCGAGAGCGTTCGGAATCCCAACTGCAATTAGAGTTGAGCACAACAAACTCCAATTTGTGAGGACTTCCTGATCAGCAAGATAAAATGTACGTTGCAGAATGGCCGCCAGGAAAGAGGAAGCAACTGGAGCAAGCCATAGTTGTGAAAAGGTGTTTTGGACGACAACCCAAAGTTGCTTTGATATGACGAGCGACTGTATTTGAGCCTTGATCGCCTTTGCTTCTCCAGGCAGGGGGACACAGGGCTCAGGGAGGAGTTGTGAAAGTAGGGAAGACAACTGCAGACCAAAATCGGCGGAGGGGGTGGGTTGACTATTTCCCTGGATCGGCTGGGCTTGGGCAAGTAAGAGGGATTGCCATATTGAGAGGGCGCTCGTCTGTCTCGATACGTAAATGAAAAGCCCGCCGAAAAATAACAGGTAACCACCCACCGCCAGATCGGTTTCACCATCTTTGAACCCATTTCGGACGACCAAAACAAAACAGGACGATATTTGGTGCCAGTGTGTCAAAGTCTCCTCCTGGGACAGACACCGTGGGGAGAAGCTCGTTGAGCGCACCATTTTCTCAATTTGGAGGTAATCGGCGCGAAGGAGTGAACCATCAATAAGGAATCGGGATAACAAGTTATCAGCAGCCAAGTAAGTCTCGCGTTGTGTGTTGCTGGTCGGTCCAATTCTACGCATGAGGCATCCAAGTATCCGGCACGCCTCATCTCGAACGTCCTGGTACTTGCTGGACAACATATCATGCATGATGTCGATCACACTAGGGATAGCCCATCCCACTACGGTTTTGTTTTGGACATCTATGGTGGTCGCTTCCATCAGCGCCGTGATCAAAGCCGCGCCGAGGCCACTGTGTAACGCTTGCTTAAGTACCAAAACGCAGCGCTGGAGGATGTCTATATCTCCCTTTTCGGTTGAAATTCGTTGAATATAAAGCTCGGTCATCGACCAGATGAAAGTGCGCCAAACGTGAGGGTTGAGATCACGCCCAGGTCGATATCTTAGAGCTTTCTGCGCAACGTTCATGACGAGCTTGAGGGGTCCATGATGTAAAAAGAGCGAAGGTCCAAGCAGGATAACGAAGCTTGCCACGATAGTCAGAGCCCAAGGCGAATTCTCACCCATGTTGCCGAAATTCTTCGATGACACTGCTGCGTCAAGCAGAGGAGGGAGCTTCCGGGATGATGTGGGGTGACGTGTAGTTTCAGGCGTAAGGAATGATTGGGTATGAAAGCATATAGTTTCTATTGTATTTTTGCCAACGAGCGTTCGATGTGTGATGAGCGTGTGAGAAAATGTTGCGAGAACAACGGCTGCGTGATGGCGAAGGTCTGAGGAAGTGTGCATGATAAGGGGAAAGATAGAAGGAAGAAGATCGGCTAGTTGTGCAACGAAAATGTGTTGGTGGAATGTCAGTAAGTTAACAATACACTTAAAACGATGAGTTAGCTGGAATATGTTGTAGCAATCATCGACTCACGTCAAGTGCGTCCACTACGGTTACAATAACACAGGTATCTCTAAGTGCGGTTTGGAGAATAAGCTTAAGGTATAAGATAACGTCTTCCATCCGAGGTAGTAGAACATCTTTTGGAAGCCTTTGCGTCCGAACTACCCAAGACGAGAGGGCTGTGGCCTTTGATACACCGAAGGATGGAAGCTGTGAAGAGCGAACGATAGAAATAACATCTCCTAGGAGAAGACCAAGGTCTTGCGCTGGTGGCACCGTAAGCATAGTTCCCAGGTGGATGGTAAATGCGGGACGTACACGCGAACACAGATGAGAGGGCCGGTAATCTAAATATCTCTGACAAGAGATGAAGTGCGTAATGACATAAAATCGAAAAATCTGTTGCACGATTCGTGTTGATCGTCGTCAATTCCCAACGCACAGTTTCTGTGGTAGTAGGAGCAAACGAATCGTTGGATGCACGCCATGCCGAAATACGCAGAGCCAGCGTGATATCTCTCCGTAAGGCCGCCGCGACATCTGCGCCCTTATCTTTAAGCAATTCGAGTGCTGGAAATGGGTCCGACACAACTGAAAGGTGTCCAGACGATTCCCGAATTCTCATAGAAAGGGCGCGATAGGCTTCCGCGATGTCATGGAGAGATAAATGGCCAGACACGAGGGCTCTGCGCGAGCAAACGATGGTTTCGATGGGTCCTAGGAAGTACTGGGAATGGTATAAGGGATTGCTATCAGTTTGAACCATGGACGTGAACGGGAATAGCGAATCTTGAGCTCCTGCGCGCGACTCAGAGGTTTGTTGATTCGAACAATAGAAGTGAGACTGACTGGTCAAAAGAAGTGATGCTGCCACTTTGCTTCAACATGTATGCTTCGCGTTATAATAACACATGGTGACAGGCCAAAACGAACAATTCAGTCGCCCCTCGCACATCATCACATGACCGCGACAACTCTTGGGAAATACTTTCCCATGGCATAGTATTGCTATCTTACTCCATCATATAACACAGACAAATAATGCCGCATGTGGTCTTGTAGTGTAGTGGTTATCACTCGGGATTTTGATCACCTACTGTGTTATCAGATGTGAAACTTCCCGAAACCCAGGTTCGAACCCTGGCAAGACCTTCAAGTGGGAATTTTTTCCACACTACGAGGGAAGAACCCTTCAAATTGACTTCGCTCTGCTACGTTTGTAATATTCGTGATATTATTTTGCATCATGGCTGCTGCTGGGAAACTGGGCACAGCCCTTTCCGGCTACCACGGTCTTACCATTATCCTGTGGTCTTTAGCAAACATGCATGGGAGTCCGCCAGCCTCGAATAGGCAGTGCGACCTCAAGAGCTCAAGCGCTCAAGGGTCGACGTCACACTGCCGAAATGCAATTGCGCAGTCTTTGGAACGTTTTGATATGCTGTCAGCCTTGGAAACGAGGCATACCTTATTTGACATTCTCCGAGCCGAAGTGCACTCGCAGGTCACTGGTAGCACGTAATCAACGTATCAGTTGATGAACGATATCATCCAGATTTTACCTCCTCTGCTTGATAACTGACCACGGACCAAGAAGCCCTTTGCCTACATAGAAGCGAAGCATGGCTGAGTAACTAAATTATATTACAGATCATATAGCGTAAGATTGTTCAAAAGTTTCTCTCGTCCCGAAGTGTTCAATACAGAAATACAGTCCTAAATGTACAGTACGGTGTCCAGTCCAGTGTCAGAAATTGTCATAAAAGCATGCACGTCATCTTGGTAAGACAACGATTATCGTATTTCATTTCGCCTAACTGCCGTTGATTGTGAATTGGGGGCTGATATTACCCGAGTCGCCAATAACTGCCCGTGTGAATACAGTAAGAATCGTAGCGAAGGACATGGAAGAAGCATGAGGTACGCACGAGCAACAATATAATTGGACTTGGAAGCGACGTTCGGGACGGTGAATGTCACCTGCCCATCGTCCAACTGAAAACCTTTCGCCAGGGGATGGTCTATAAGCAGAATATGACGTGTCGTATGATAAGCGAAAATAGAGCACATGTTTGAGCTCAATCAACTGACCAACATCGAGGTTCTCGCCTCCCGTACCATCGGGCAGTATGTACCCTAGTATAACACTCCCAATAGGGTTCGAGACCTGCGTAGGGCGCGACGACGTGTTCCTATTCCGCACAAACAAATGAGAAGTTAGCCGTCAACATTAAAGCCCCAAGCTAGCCACACCGTCGACGTACCACGTAACTGTCACGTTCGAACCTGAACTCCAAACTGTTCCCGCTTGCGGACTGGTGATCGGCGGTGCCCAAACCTCTCTCCCCACTAGGTGTATATTGCTGAGAACAACGGGGGCTGCGGACGCCGACATGCCAAGGACCAAGGAGAAGAGGAGTGCAGCAGGGGATGGGAGGATCATCAAGTTCAAAAAAAGCGCTAGCAATGGGTTGTGTGCGTGAACGTGAAAAAAAAAAAGAGGAATGCGACTGGAGGAGGATGCAAGATAGAGGGGATGTGGTAGGGGGATCGTGGATTGGGGAATGGAAGTTGGAGAATGGGCTAACGCCTCCTTAAATACACTTTTTTTGGCAAGGGACGAGGTTCCGACCGCAAGCCCCCCGAGGTCCGAGTTGTACCGAGTTGCCGAATATGACCTCACTAGCACCGGATCGGTGATAATAGACGAAACTTGGCTGCGCCCACCAGGTCAAATAGCTATTTAGTAATATCATGCCGCGGCCGAACGTGACTGGAGCACCGCATAGCGGCAGCGGCGATACATTCCAATCTGTTTCAAACGAGGGCCTATCTGCACCTCGACACGGCCGAGAAGATTCTACCGGGTAATGACACTTCCATGCTTAGGCATCCCGTGGAGCCGCTGTCAACGCAATGAACTGCGACATCACGCGGCCGTTCGCCGTAATCGGACGGTCGGGATGGGGAAGCTGATCATCTGAACATGTCCAGTCATAACAGGGGGGGCCAAGCCCTCATGAAAGAGGATTGCCGAATGAATTTTGACCACTACAATTATGCAGGTAGTAGATACGGAATCGTCATCAACTTCGTGGGATGGAGCGGGCAGACAACGGAATGCGACAGCTCGCTGTAAGTAAAGAGACATCGTAAAAAAGACACACAACACAAGCTCTGCACATAGACGAGCGACTGACAAGGAAAAAAATGTGGATGCTAATGCGGGACAAACCAACCAGATATCAGTGACAATAATACAAACACAAAATTCACTCTTTGCTCAAACTCAGCGCGCATATGCCTTCCTCAAGCCCAGCTGTGAGGCCGCACCCCTTCGAGGACTCGTGAGTCGTTGCATCATTGGGGAGAGTAGCGGTGGGTAACGAGACTGGGACAGCGCGCACATCCACCTCTGGCTCAACGTCAACGATGGTTACAACTGCTTTCCCTTCGAGGACACGTCGGATCTTGTCCGCATCCCAAGTTGGAGAACCAGCATTGGGAGATGCTTCATTTGATGGCAATTGTGTCGTAAAGGCCTGCCAGAAAGCGCTACCGAGCCGCTGAAGAAGAGCCTGCGAGGCCATACTTGCAAACAGGGCTTGTTGCGGCGTGGGCAGTTCATTCGAGGATGTGAACGGTGGTGTTGCGGGGTCGAGTTTCGGTGATGAGGGTGGTGAAGGATAGGTGGAAGCATGCTTTCCGCTGAGGAGAGATGACATGGAAGATGTGGAAGCACGCGGCGACGTGGGATAATGGGGACGGAGAGCAGCAGCAGCCAAGCCAGGCGATGGCTGCTGTGGGGGTTGCGTCGGTGGGTATTGGGCAAAGCGACCCCAGAGTTGCGTTCGATATCTAAAAAGCGGTAAAGAGGAGGTCTCATGAGAAAGGATGACACTCACGCATCGAGCATCTTCATCGAGAACGGATTCCCTTCGTAGGAGTCGAATGGTGCGGCCTTGGAAAGGCCAGTGAAGGCGTTACCAGGTAGGCCAGCATTGCCTGAATCGAGTAATGGATATGTGCGTGCCCCAGCCAGCGATTTAACGCTCGCGAGAGGTTGTACAAAGTTCTCAGGAATAAGTGTCGTGTGGACGGGCGTAACACCACCAAAGGAAGCACTTCCTCCCCAAAACGCTTTGGCGGCTGATGCCGCAAGACGAGGTGATGATGGGAGATCCTTTTGGGTGTTCGGGGTGACAAGAGAGGAGCTTGTCGTGGTACGGGTAGCGAGAGGGGGCGCGGGGATGGGACCAGGCGGTGGGAGTGCCGGGGACTCGGCCCGACCTGCGGAAGCGAGGAGAGCTTTCTTGAGGGCACTAATTTCCTGCCTCATCGCAGCATTCTCCGACTGGCTGGAACCGAGTTCCGTGCGGATAGCATCAATGAGACGATCACGTTCTGCAATATCTCCTTCAAGTGTCGTTATGTACTCTAGCGGTGTCCTTTTAGCTACAGTGGTCATAGAAAGTGATTATCTCACCCTTGCGGCGCACTCGGAAGTTACGAGCACTGATTTTGTTACGAAGCTGACGCTTTTCTTTGCTTGACATTTTCTTGTATTCTTCTGGTGAAGGACGCCAATCATCGCCGTCATCTCTCGGATCGTCTTTGTCCCTCACGACTGCCGATATCGTTGTTTTCTTCTGAATACCGCCCGACTGGACAATGCCCTTCCGAGACTTGCCTTTGCCACCGACTTTAACAGGTAGCGATGCGATAAGTTCTTCTTCCTCTTCCTCATCCTCGAGCCCTTTCTCTACCACATCCTTCACCTCTCTAAGGTCGTGTGCAGTTTGCGGTGGCACCGAGCTCGACATGAGCTGCGGATCGATGGCAAAGGAAGGGGAAAGTCTGCTGCCAGTGCCTGCGCTTCCAGAGTCGGGACTGTCATTCGAAAGTGTGAGGAAATCCCAAGGGCCACCGGTGACCGGTGGTGGTGTGGAATGATCGGCTTTGACAAAGTCTTCCTCGAGAGAGAAGTTGAACCAGTCGGAGGGATTTGGCTCGGATATTACAGGCAGAGGGGAGAAGAGCGGGGTGGAGATCGAAGGGGAGGGCTCACGAGAGTTGGAGGTTGTAGAGCTTTGAGTAGTGAACAGGTCCATGTTCACAAAGTCGGATAGGTCGGTGGGGCCAAGAGGAACAGACGATTGGTGCAAAGGGTTATCCACCAACATCATGTTATGTCGAAAAGGGAGTGAATTTCAGGATGCGCTGTCGTTTGGGGATGAAGAGATGGAAGACAAGGAGAGAAAGATGAGCAACAGAAAGGGCCCACCCAGCACTGGCACGCCAGACACCTGACATAAGCACCACGGCCGTACCCGACTTCCCCGCCTCAACTGACTCGGCCTTCTTTCTCCTTCTGCGCTCTTCTCTCCTCATTCCCGGGTCCCTGTGTCCGCAGCGCCTACCGCCAGAGGTGTATTCCGCCACCTGTTGTCGTTGCTATTGTTAATACCACCAATTTTGTATCCCGAGTGTCTGCGCTCTGCGCGATTCACCCATCGATAATCTTGGCAACGTGGCCTCCTCCTTTCAGCCTGCAGGCACACTCCTCTCGGGTTATCAAGATATCAAAATTTATGAAGTTTTTGTCATTTACTTATGATTCCTGTCTTCGCTTGCTCAAGGGCATGACGTCTCTTAATAACCCGCTTGACATCTTGATGCGCAAAACGCCACACCTGTGATGGACGTAGCAAATTTCGTTTCGGCACTTGTAAACGAAGGACAGGCAGGACCTTGAACTGTCACTACGATCATGATTGCAACTCCCACGGTGAGACCTGGTGCTTGGTTCTAAAACGAACCTCGCACATCACGGTCCCGCAAACCCAACAATAAAGCAACTTATTGTATTGACTACCTACCACTGTAAGTGGTCACATACCCCCAGCAAATAATACTAGAGCAACCTGCCAAGTACATTCGACACTAAAAGGGACAGCCGAATGTACCCCTCACGCGAGTGACTCTAAAACATTGACTGCCCAGCCTCAAACGAACGGCCGCTAAACAACCTGTTGCAACCGAAAACTAACGAGAATATAAATCCGCGAGCCAACGACTCTTAGACCCCACTGTCAAGGAGACTTGGAGATGGGTTCTGCAAAAACGGTACAGAGGCCTTCCCAACAACTGGA